TAAAAATCGTCAAAACATTCTGGTGTCTGAGCCAGAGTGTCATCGAATTGCGATGTAATGTAAACAGAAATTATAGCAAATTGATGTCAGTCAGCTTACTAGATGGTTCAAGCCAAAATTATATCGCATTTGAAGTTTAAAACTGAGTTAAAAATAGTGGAAGAAAAGCCGTAATTATACTTATTGTTACAATCCATTTAATAAAATGCAACATTTTTTTGTTTCAATGAAAAAATCAGTTATTTTCATGAGAACGATTTGTTATTCCATCTCAATTTTTTTAATCTCCAATCGCAATAACGTAAAGTATTATTACCCGCGAACCAATGAGTGAAATTTAAGAAACAACTCACTGTTAGAAAGCTGAATGGCTACGCTTTAAAATGAATGTAAACTTTAACGTTTTCGTCTATTATTTGTTTAGCAATTTACATTTCAGTCGAGGATTGCGCTTTTTTTGATACACCCTGTATACGTATGCTTCGCCTTCATAGTTGTCGTATGTTTGTCTTTGGAATTAAGTTCCAGATCGAAGTAAACATTTTTTATACCTGTCGAATTGCTTATATACGTCCTGTGCGTGCATGGGTATACACGTGCACAGCCGCATTCATGCACGTGAAATTATATGTATTAAGCACTCATTTTTCGGAATAACTTTTATTTAAAATCTGCTGAGATTATCACGAAAGGGGACTTAGGCTACGCATATATACGCATGCTGTGGGCGGAACTCAAAATTCTTAGTTCGGACAGGTGGTATTTCGCAAACGTAAAACTTGCATGGATAAGTACAACCATGGATTGTAAAATAACTACTATAGGAAACCTCCTGACGTCATTGACTCATCCTTGTTGAAAAACGTGACGTCACCCGTATAGACCCATTGCACACGACGTCACTGCGCCAGTGATTATATGCATCTGGAGGACAAATTAGCAATCTATGCATAATATAACTTTTGTAAACAAAGCAAATTTTGTAAAAGTTTATAATAATTTTGTATTAAAATTGTTGATTTTTGCGCTGTATGTGGTTGTTGTACCCGAATAGATACGGTTAGGGAGCATCTGGAGGACACTCCAAGGATTTGTGACGCCAGTGCAATGGGTCTATTGCGAATATTACCAAAGTTCTCGGCATTTTTGTTGTTTTGCTATATTTTCCACTTTAAAAAGGTGATATTGAAGCATAAACTGGTCTAATTGTTTTAAAAACATGCCTAAGCCACGACAAAGTATTCAAGGTAAATGTTTTTCGTCTTTGTTTTGTATTTTTTTTTTACATTTGTAGCTACGAAATTGGCGTCACAAATTTTAACGAAATTTGTGATGTATTTTTCACTGTTTAGTGCTTGAAATATTTGCTAAAATTGACTGGGAATACTTAGAGTTTTCATCGTAGAATGGCGTGGTTATATTTATTTGCTCTTTGACTAAAACGTTTAGCTGTATTATTGCTAAACATGCCGTTTTTGAGAATTTGGTTTGCAACTAGGTTTGAACATCCAACCACGCCATCAGCCCATTGAAAACATTAGGTCACGTCACGGCTAGTTTCCTATCCATTTATTTTATTATCCATGGTACAACTACAGATGTAAGAGCGAATATAAAATATCTTCACCTCTATCCACAAAGAGAAATAATCTATATATAAAAGTAAGATTATGTTATTCGTATATATGTCTCATATTTATAGTATATTAGCGCTAAAATGACGCGAGCGGAAAACCCAAACATCAACAACGAAACATTTATATAAGCCCGCGGTTTACATGCGCGACAAGCGTTTTGGGCACGACACCCCTAAAATATTTTTCCGCATCGAGCAATATTTACAAATGTTTGTATACAGGGTTTTCTAGAATTAATTAATAATAGTATTCGCCGAAGGCGAGGTGATTATCGGTGAATAAAAACCGAGACGAAGTCGAGGTTTTTATTCACGATAATCACCTCGCCTGAGGTGAATAATTGTTTTAGTATAATTTCATAGGTGATTATTTGGAAAAAAAGTTGAAAATGCACATTTCTTCGTCATTTAATTGACAAAACGGCTTCGACCGCCATTTTGAAAATCGCTTAGGTGATTATCGCGTAATAATCACCTCAACGGCAACCAATCAGCGTCGAGAATTTTCAATAATCACCTATGTAATTATACTAATTACTATTAATTGGATTTGACAACGGTTTCCCGCCACAGGGAATGTTGAGAGGGGCACCTTAGCTGCACGTGCTATAGGCATGAGTCATAATTAAGGTGGGCCCTAGTTAGAATACTTCGACTCGATCCCTCTAAGCTGCGTTCTTTGTAATTCAGCTTAGCTCTCAGCTGCAAGTAAGCCGGGATGATTAACCATGCACCCACATTTTCATAGGAATGAATTGCTCAACACACATATGTTGTCCAGCTGCACATGCCGGCAACTATCAATGGTAGTGAATAGACAATTTCATCGCAATGGACCAATCCCTTTGATCTCAACAAGTCTAGACAAAATTCCATCACAGCATGAAAGAGCATCACAAAATTAGTAATACTGCCAAGTTTTGTTGCGAAATGTTGTAAAATGCGGATAATATAGCCTTGCGAAATTTGCAATTTTCAGTCATTTTGTATTACGAGTGGGAAACGGTTACCACTTTTCCAAAATTTTGATCTCAACTAGCCTAAACAAAAATTTCATCACAGCTTGAAAGAGCATCACAAAATTAGTAATATTCCAAAGTTTCGTTGCGAAAAGTTGTAAAATGCGGATAATATAGCCTTGCGAAGTTTCTAATTTTCAGTCCGGCATTTTGTATTACGCTTGCACGGAAGTGGTAACCATTTCCCGTTTGTAATACAAAATGACTGAAAATTGCAAACTTCGCAAGGCTATATTTTCCGTATTTTACAACTTTTCGCAACGAAACTTTGGAATATTACTAATTTTGTGATGCTCTTTCAAGCTGTGATGAAATTTTTGTCTAGATTTGTTAAGTTCAAAATTTTGGTTAATGTGGGATTGGTCCATTATGCTAGAGATAATTTCACTTGAATTAACATTCATATTAAAAGATTGCTCTACACACATGCTATGTTCTCCAGCTGTACATGCTGGCAAGTATCAAGGGTAGCGAATATTATAGACAATATACACCGCAATCACTGGAGCGTATATAGCGTCATTACATAGGCCATATATAGCCTCTTCGTAATAACTTTTAACTATATTTTGAAACTTTTCCCTGTCTGTTTTCAAAATAAGTGTAAACAAGACGCCTGCTCAGGCGTTCACACTGGCCTGAAAATAACGAGATACGTGCTATGGTGCAAAAGACAGGAATACAAATCTTTAAACCGCAAGCAAATTTTATTTATGGACTTTTTAAAAAAATAAAAGACCTTTTCGGGAGACGTAATGGAGATCGATGCACGTGCAAATCATGCCGACCTACAGAATCGATTTCCGGTTTTTCCTAACAGCGCGTTGTTTTCATGTGCGTTCCATGGGCCGCGCTAAAAATATAAATATTCTGTAAATACCGAAATAAAAGATGAAAATCTCAAGACACAAGCTTGAAAATAACACTATAAATAGTGTTTTCGATTCTGGTTCCAATAACATTATCACGAAAAAGATATGTCCAAAGGGGCCGAAGAATTATGTTCGGCAAAATGTATGGCTAGTTTACATTGTTTGTTGTATTATGAAATATGATACCATACTTGTATTAAAATTCGCGTCGAACTAATGTTTATATTGTAAATGAGTAGACTTGCCACAAGTCGACCTCGAACGAAATGCGTTTCTTCGAGGTCGACTTGTGGCAAGTCTAGCAAATGAGAACCATACAAATGATACAATAATAGTTCTAGCTTTTCGCGCGGATTATATTTCGTGGAGTACTAAATATTATATTTTGTGGTTTTCGAGTCATTACACAAAGAAAAACACATTAATTCAACACGCAAGAAAGTCCAGAGTAAGACACAACGTAAAATACATAGGAAACCGGCACAATTCTTTGAAAATTCAACGAAACTGTGTAAAATATAGTTTGAGCACTCTGTGAAAAGCCGCCATTGCAGTTCGGAATTGTGCGCGTGCGTACAAGTGTATAGGCTAATAAACGAAAAATGTACCACAAGCATGGCATGAGTCGGCTATTACGTACATATATACGAGCTTATTACTATACTATCTAAATCATGGAACCGAGGGAATCGATGGCATTTTGGCTTAATCGTTGCACCCTGAGCCTGCGATGAGCTAACGCAAACTCGATTTCTCGACTACGAAAAAAAACAGAAAAAGGGGGATTTAAGACACTTGGCCTTACAGGCCAGTGTAATAACTCTATCATCTACAGTATGTGATGCGCGTGATATATCTAGACTGGAAAACTACAATCAAGGCCAAAATTGATTATAGGACACTCGTGCATGTGATTTGTAAAGAGGTGGTAAATGCCAGTGATTTTCTTTTCCTTTAAATAACATCGAGTGAAACCTGACCCTAAGACAACCCGGCCTGAAACCCAATCATCACTATATCTTCTTATGTTCAAAGATTTCAATCACGGTTATGTTACAGGGTTGCTTTGGGATCACTCACTTCATGCAGTCATCTTAATTATTTATTTTCTTTCATGTGTATATTTATAGTGTCACTTTTATTGATCCGAGAACAAGCTATACCCATAAATTTTCATTTTTTAACATTTATGCATTATATGTAAAAACGTTTTCAGTAAACATTGTTATGGAAAAATGTAAAAGCTTGAGATTCAAAACAATGTGTTCATATATAAGTGAAATTGTGGCTCTTTGAAATGTGGAAAAAGCACCAAAACGAGGATAGTCGCCTGACTAGATATTTGCTAAATCGAGCATAAACGTTGGTATTTTTAATATTTATTTTGGCAAAGACAATACATGGTATCATAATTATGCATTCTGTAAAACTGTGAACTGAACTGCCAGTCTTGAAGTATTCTATGTGGCGGCATTGATTACGTACCTTAGTTGAAATTTACATAAAAATTAATGGCAACTATTTTTCGAATCGATCTACAGGGTGTCCCAAAAAAACCGCAAAACCATTGAAATAACGTATTGTTGAAATTTGAATGCCTTAGCACTAAGCTGAACGCAAAAATGCGTAAAGTATTGACAAGGGTGCATATATTATTAAATATTGACTTATTAAGAAATTAAAATATCTTTGTAAAGCGCACGACTTTCTGCTCTTGGGAATTTAAAACAGCTTCTTAAACGGTTTCTTTATGCATAAAATTACTTACGTCAAGCTTTGATGCACGTGTGGGTTCAGCCGGTGCTGAGGCATTCAAATTCTAACAATACGTTATTTCAATAGTTTTCTTTTTTTTGGACACCCTGTATAGGGCATGAAATTATAAGCGTCAAACGTATGTCTAGAAGCATCCCCCACTCACTCCAATGATGGATCATTCTAATATTGACTCCCGTTCCTAATACTGTGCATGCACTTGTTATTTGACGACGTCATGTAGAATTGGGGAGGGGATTAATTTACGTATATTCGTGAGGTGTCCAAGAGGCTGCTCCATTTACTGTTCTAGAACATTTGGAACACTGTTCTAGCTGGAACGATATGAAATGGAGTGCACACGGCCGGTGTTCTGGAACAGTGTTTAGTTTATTATATATGCGTGCAACCATGCATTACTATATCATTAATTATTCGCATAATATATCGTATAATGTTTGCTGTTATTTGTATATCTAAGTATGCTTTTGCAACGTTTTTACTCGTTGATTTTGCCCAATCCTCGCGTTCAAATGGCATATAATAAGATACATGTCGATATATAGCGGTTAACCATTCAAAATAACACTCTGTGCAGTGTCCATTGGCAGGGCCGTAGTGAAGGGGGGGGGGGGTTAACTCCCATCCCCAACTTTTTTAGAATCAACATATTCGGAAAATCGGGTTGGCCATTCGGAAAATTACGGCAATAATAGTAGAACAAAATTTTAGTTGTTAAACAGAGAAAATATTATAAAATTATATTGTCAGTTCTGATCTTCTTATTCTTATACCTTTAAAATACTGACAATTAGCCTTTCTCACGCCGCCATTTTTGGGGTACTGTAATTTTTCGTAAATGATTATAACAATGTGAAAAGCAATATTTCAGAACAAACTATTTACAGAGTAAATTAACCTGAGTATCAGGCCCTCGGTATTGAAAGAGGGCCTGACACAATTCGCCTCTAAAGCCATGTTCAACATCCAGAATCTGGATGTTATGCTGATTGGCTAAGAGACGATAAAACGCATCATGTGATTCAAACCGGAAATGTATGACCGGCGTATGTAAATACCAAAAATAGAATTTGTAATTTTGTCAATATACTGTTAAAAGTGCTTTATTTCTGAAATTTATTTTCAATTAATTAAGCCTAAAAATGACAAAATAAGTACGAAAAGACGTTGAAAACGCTTTTGCAGCAATATTTTACTCGGTAGAAAGCGTGTCTAAATATCTCGCCGTAATAGTCGCCGTAGAACGAAAATATGTGGATGTCGGAAATTTTCAAATATTTAGTTCCAAAAAGCTGAAGCCTTATTTATCAGTTTATTGCCGAGCTGTTTTCCAAGACCTGCAAGGATATTGTAGTCAGCTCGCTCGAACTAATATGTCAACATCAGGCAGAAATTGAAGACAATAGCCGCTGTGTCAGACGCAGTTGAAGCGAATAGCTGTCTCGAATAAACTATTAACTAGAAAATACATGCATGCAGAAACCCTCGCCTTGCTGACAAAACCGTTGTATTTTCCGAACATGAAGTATCTAAAGTAGTTGTTATGGTAACACGATAATTTTTTAAGAATATTCTTACAAATAAAAATCGCCTAAAAATATCACTTTTAAAAACAAAATTATCAATTTCTCAACATATATATATGTTAGGTATGTAATTATACGTAATACAAGCTTCAATTTAAGGTAAAATTCAACAACAAACAATTCACAAAACGTTTTAAAGTGTTCTTTATAAAACTAAACTGCCTTTAACTATTAAATGGCTTTATCGATAAACTTTGAGTTTGCAATAAAATGATTTCAAATTCTCGCTGCAAATAACTTTGCTTTATTTTTTATTTAAAAAATTCAATATAATAAAAAAAGGAATCAATATTAAAGATACACTGAAATTATATGCTGTCTTGTATGTCTTGTTTAGTTGTTTGATATACGGAAAAGCCGTCGGGTTTTAAAGCCATTATAAAATCAATATTTAAAACAAACTTACCTTCGTTAACGTCGGCTCCCTTCTTTTAGCTGATCCTTTGGCCCTTTCTTTCTTGAAATTTACAAAATCTTGCAGAAATATGAGCAAAAATGAAGAATATTTGCAAGAAATTTGACAAATTTATCAATCATCAACTCATCAAATCAAGAAATGTTTGCTATTTCGCTGTCGTCATGCAGCCGTTATAATGCAAACTTTAAATTGGACCAATCAGTGTCCGTTATTCATAACAGTCCGCCATATTTTTGAGATCAGTGAGGATGACCACCCATCGTTGGTGACCGACGCCCGCGCTCATTGATGAACTTTAGACTTCCCTAATGCTTTCGTTTCCCCGGGTGTATATAGCCGGGGGGAATTAGTACCCTCGCACGGCGCTTCGCGCCGCCGGCTCGGGGATAACATGACACGAGGGCCGAGGAAGAAGAAATCCTATTCAGAGCGCCAAATGTTGTCTCTTTAGACTCCTGGGAAAAGCCATCCAGCTATGGTTCCCCGAATGAGGCATAGTTTACGCTTAGAATTCCATCATGTGGATATTTCGACAAAAACATACCGATTTTTCTCCGTATTTATTCAAATTTATACAAAACTGCAAATAACGAAATTTGCGTATTTACATACCTGTAGCGGACAACCGGAAATATGCTACAACCGGAAATAATTTTAATTGGCTGATATTCTGGGGGTGGAAAGCCCGTAGAGGCGAATTGTGTCAGGCTCTCTTCAATACCGAGGGCCTGATACTCAGGTTAACAGTAAATTTACCATCATACATCCATAAAATTATAAAATGTCGCCGTTACGTGGTGTTACGCTCGCAGGATAGGCAAAAACGTACCCCAAAAATGGCAGCGTGAGAAAGGCTAATTGATTAATTTTAAGCGGCTACATTATCCATGACAAACTGCAAAGAATCATAGTACCCATACTTCCCTGCAACTTCTCCAATATACAGTATAGTTAATTAAATACGCCTTCGCCCATTTAATACTACTAAATTGTAAGCAAATTGTAAATTTCGACATACTAAAACGCTTTTTTCTGACCATCAGAATTCTGTCAAAACTTCCCCAAAGTCCAGTAAATGCAATAAATGGCATTCCAGACCCCTTCCCCCCAATAAACAAGAGCTTCCTACGGCACTGCTTCTGTAATATGTCTGTGCGTAAAATATGTGTATTTTTGTTTGTAAATTGCGTCTTCATTTTCCGGATAGCAAACACCTTCGTGGCCTCCTGTGCCATGAAATATTCGGAATTTTTTTTCGTCATTCGGAAAATTTTGGCCCCCCCCAACTTTATATGCTAGCTACGGCCCTGTCCATTGGATACACAAAATATGTCACCTCCATTTCCAATCATGTGAAAATGGGCAGTGTCGCGTCTTCTGTTCTAGCTGCCCCTACTTTGAAGTTGGGGCAGCCAGAACAGTTCCAAACGGTCATGTGATCGTGTTCTCTTCCATTCCATTAGTGTTCCCAAAATCCGGAGTACTCCGAACAGTAAATGGAGCAGCCTCCAAATGATTTTGGCCTGGATTACAATCTTTAAACGCCTTATGGTTTCTAGAAGGCGCCTAGCCCACTTCTTGTAAATACTTTATTTTCAGATTTATTGACGTAATCTTTTTTGGGTGCGAACAGTTAAATAAAATTTATTCTATTTCACTCACTCCCTAACTTTACTTGGACGACTCGTTCGATCACCATACTTATAGTAATATGAATTTTTTGAACGTGTATATATATCACGTCGTGCGTCTTCTCATTGCAAGAGCTTTTTTGATTAAAGAAAACACTTCACGGGCTGCCGATAATTGAAGATAACAGATATTTATTGGATTCATATTCTAATTTATGATTTTTGATTGACGTTAACACTTAACAGTCAACTGTTAAATAGTCTTATCAGCTCCACAGCCGACCAAATACGGACTTAATATGTTGACGTGCTGTTTTGACATATATAATATTCAACGATGGGAGGTTATAACGTTGATATGGGAAAATAAAATATTAAACGCTATGATGTCATGCCAATAACGACTGCCGAGCGAGGAAGTGCGTCACAACACAATTAATGGCTTCCTACTACCTGTCATCTTTTAAATAAATAATAAAACGATTATTGAATTCCTATATTCATAATTATTCAGCTGTAAGCCATTAACCGATCAGAAGACTGCATGTAGTGAGCACAATTAATGTGTGATAGTATATGATTCTTGAACGAATTGACTAAATTGAGGAAAATTCGTCATTGGCAATAATTGATCTCACCTCCAGTCATGCACTAACACATCGGGTTAGGGTAAAACGCTGATACGGACGGGCGGACGGACGGACGGATATGATTATTTAAACATCATATCCTCGTTTTACCCGATCGGGTAAAACGCGGAAATGGTCGGGTAAAACGCGGATATGCCTTTGAAAGAGCCGAAAAGCATATTTTACACCATATCCGCGTTTTAGCCGATCGGGTAAAACGCGGATATGATGTTTAAAACATATTTTAGAGAAACATAGGTCATCCGTCCGTCCGTCCATCCGTCCGTCCGTATCAGCGTTTTACCCTAACCCCTAACACATCACGATATTCTTGATTTGCATTTGACGTCATGGAGGCTATGATTGAGGCGCGCTGACAAACGAATATCATGAGCAGCTAACATATCTTCCCAGTTTCAGCTGAAATGTCAAATTTATATGCGAATTTATGTCTCGTTCTAGTGTCTTCTCCCCATGTTGTTATTTTAGTTATGTTTAGGTACTTCATAGTTTTAGGACTTGTTCCTATTTTGTATTTTCGATATATTTTTGGTGAACCAAACATAATAATCATTTTCGGACAGCGGTGCAAAATGAGCAATGTTGACTTCTCACAAGTGGCAAAGGTGCATTTTTGCATGCGATAATTGCTTTTTAATGTGCGCATGCTCATTAAACTACGTGCACCAATTATGCAGGAATATTTGCCAATCAAAACTGATCATGAGAAAGTAATGATATGAATAATAATGTTTTCTTAATTCAGGTGCATACAGTCGCTCGTTGATCAGTATGTTATGAAGTCTTTATTTGGTCGATGATATGCAATATGGGGGTACCGATATCCGATAAAAATGTTTACCGGGTTCATCGGATATTTATTATTCATCGGATATTTATATATTCTCCGACTCCTTTGCCACAAGAACATATATTTATGCTTATTATGCTGTATAAACAGGCAAAGCACGTACTGAAAAATGGACTATATATACTAGCAATTTCGCTAATGCTTTCCTTTTCCCGAGTGTAAATAGCCGAGCGGGGTTGGTATACCCTCACCCTGGGCTTCCGCCCGGAACGGCGCTTGGCGGCGATGGTTCGGGGTTTGCTATAAGGAATCGTGAAATATTGTCCAAGTACTACCACTGGTATTCGGTTATTATCCGGATCCGGTTACCATAGATTACTATATATGCTGGAATTATCCGGTGTTCGCGAAAGAGTGTTCGGCACATCCCTAATGCAATCTATGTAACAACACCTATTTTACACTAACGCGGTTCATATTTTACTTGTTTAGGTGTTTCGTCGGATCTCACAGGAACAATTAAAGGAGTCTTCCAGGAGAAAAGAGGTCATTAATGAATGTCTGACCATACTAACGCATTCAAGAAAGTGCAAAAACGACGAGTGCACGTCGCAGAGATGTATTTCAATGAAGAACGTCTGGAAGCACTTCGGTGCATGTCCTGAAAACAAGAAGTCGAGTCCAAAATGTCCTATTTGCAACAGTGTCATATCTTTATTACATTACCATGCAAAAGATTGTCAAAATGACTCGTGCACAATGCCACGATGTCGAGAACTTAAGGACGGATTTTTGGCAAAGTGGCAGAAAACGCAGCAGACTTTCCTCGGTAATCTGGTCAAGTTCAGGTTATCAACTGTACCCACAGTTATAAAACGACAATCCAAAAAAGTTAATACCAAGTCCTCAGTGCAGACTAACGAAAATAATTTAGTAAGTAAACCAGTGACTAAGGATTTAGTTACTATCGAAAATTAATGGATCTGTGATTATTGAAAATAATTTACAGATTGCATAGGAATTGAAAAAAAAATCATAGGACCATAAAGTTATAATTGTGTATATATATATACATATATGAAGAAGTATAGAATATAATATTAAAATGTTATTTTATAATTTATAATTTATGTTGAGTGTCTAAAGGCCCATACATTTTTTACACGATACCATGCACTAGTCGTATATGATTGTCATTCTGGCGTATGACAGAGACTACTAACGCCACTATTCCTCTTCATCATTTTATGGCGAAATTTGAAATGTGGCATCTTTTCGCAGGAAATCTACATGTCACCGTTTTTGACGTCTTTCAGTTTATTTAAAAAACAGATAAAGTATCTGTGATAGCGTGGCACACTCTAAATTGCAATACCAAAATGGTGTAATCATTGCAGCTCTGTAGATATTGATTTAGTGTAAAAAACACCGATGTCACTTATTGGGTGTAAATATCACAACTGATCAGTGTATATTTGGTATTTCCCTAACACAAAATATGGTGTTAACTTTTACAATAAATCATTGTCTACCGAGCTGCAATGATTACATCATTTTGGTTTTGTAGCAACACTCAGAAATTTAGGAAACTTTTACTAAAAATCAGGACAATTGTTGTCATCTGTGGCAAAACTGTGGAGTTGATGATTGTTCTTTCAAATATTCTTGACTATACGTATTTGCAAGTAAAACAAACTTTCAGATCACAAGAGAATACGTAGTCAAGAATATTTGAAAGAACAATCATCAACTCCACTGTTTTGCCACTGAAGACAACAAATTCTCATATCTAAGTAGATATGAAAATATATCTACTTTGACGAGTGTGATAAATACTGAATTATGTAAGATTTCAGACAGTCTAATAAGCTCTCTTTGAGTATAAATAAATCAAATTACATAATATTTAAACCCAGGCAAAAAAGGCAAGTGTATAACCTGGCACTTGCGATTAGCAATAACATAAGGCCCGGTTTAGACGGCGAACTTCTCATGCGCCGAATCTAATGCAAGAATTAAGTGCGACGCTGGAGCGGCGTCTAAATCAATTAAGTTCGACAGGTTTTGATTAAGTTCGACATGACTCGAAGATGCGACAAGACAAGTCGTATATGCGACACAGGTTCGACATTGATTTAGACGCCGTGCTTTTCATGCACCGAACCTAATGCATAATTATTTTTTAACATCATAATATGATTATCATATATTTGCATTGTAAATATGTCCAATATAGTGTCCTCGCAATTTGGTACGGTACAATTAAGTTCGACGTCTAAATCAGCTTCCGATATTTTGCCGTATCTACGACAATTAGATTCGGCGCATGAAAAGTTTGCCGTCTAAACCGGGCCTAACTGACAGGATTAAAAAAGTCTGTTTTTCTTAGTGTAATTTTGGACGAGAATTTAACATGGAAAGCACATATATCTTATTACGAAACTGGTTTTTCGTATCTCTGAGGATGGTTCTGAAATATATCTTATATTGCACGTAAAATTTCAAAATCAATTGGAATTATCTATATAGGTCAAGCTTTTTTATTCAAATCAGCCTTGCGGATTTTATATTTTGCCACAGTATATCCGTATCTTCAATATTGTGTTACGATTTGGGATTCCACATATTCAAGTAATCTTAATCGTATTGTATACTGTTGCAAAAACGTGCAGTACGAATTGTCGACAACAAACAATATTTCGGTCACAAAATACTGAAATTCGAGGATATTTATTTAATTCAATTGAGTAAATTTATGTATCTATATCAACAAAAATTACTTCCTGATTGTTTTGAAGGTCTATTTTCATTACGTTATAGTCAGATTCATTATTATAATACACGAAATGCCAAAACTTTTTATGCCCTCCAATGTAGGACAAATATTCGTCAGTTTTCGGTCAATTATCAGGGTCCTAAATTCTTTAATACATTGAATCCCGATATACGTAAATCTTCATCTGTATTTAAATTTCAGTATATGTTAAAAATATTGTTTCTTTTTTCTCACTACATATAATCTCAATAATTTATTTATTTCAAACGTGACGCTTTTTTTTGTAACATTTGTATTTAATATAATATAAAACATGAGGTAGCCCAAATTCCTATACAAAGCCTCTTGGTTTCTATTCGAGCTTCCTCGCCACTTTTTGTTCAAAATTATTGTTTCTTCTATCAACTTATATATCTTTCTAATAACATTTTATTATTATACATTTACTTATTTATTAACTATTACTTATTTGTATTGTGGTAAACCAAATCAATAAATCATTCATTCGTATCAAAATTAATGTAATATGTCTTGGAAGGAACACGAAATTAATTTTTTGCTGAAATGTTGTAAAGTAACTCATACATTACCAATTCTGGATTGAGTTGCCTTGGTTTACCCTGAATTGCCAAGGATCACGAATTCTCAACTCAAAAATTTCAACCCAACCGAGTCGTCAGCAAATGTCCTTTTCCTCTCTCATTGAGGACGAACACCAGCTCTTAACCGTTTAAAAAAGAACAAGAGATCGAGAGGTGGCAGCACTGATCTCTTACGCCACTTCCGAAGAAGAAAGATGAAGATGGAGAGACTACAAGAAGTAAGCCCACTGGAAGAGATCATATTATTTGTAGGGATGTAAAGTAGGGATGTTAAAAAGAGATGGAATTTGATAAATACTTTACTAAGCAGAAATAAGAAATCATGCAATGTTAATGAACTTCATATCAATAATTCAGTTATCGTAGATAATAAGCAAATAACTGATGCCTTTAATGAATATTTCGTACAAATTGGCCCTAAGCTAGCGGCTGAAGTGTGTGACCCAACCAGTCAATCTACAAGCAGCTCGGATAACCAAGATTGTTCCAACAGTTATTTTGGCCCACGCTTTTTTTTTTCTCAAATTAGCCAAATCAATGTTGCCACAAGTTTAACACAACTTAAAGTCTCAAAAGCTACGGGTATGGATAACATACCTGCTAAAATACTTAAAATATCAGCAGATATAATAGCACCATCATTAACTGCCATTTTTAACTTATCTCTTAATTCATGTACAGTGCTTATATTGATTCATGGAAAAAGGCTAGGATAACGCCAATCTTCAAATCTGAAGATAGGCAAAAATGTGATAATTACCGACCTATCTCAATTCTACCGATAATAAGTAAGATATTTGAGAAAGAAGTCTCTGATCAGTTATATGAACATTTATCTCAAAATTTATTGCTTTCTAAATAACAACCAGGATTTCGGCCAAAACACTCAACCATGTCAGCACTCATCCAAATGTGCGACCAGTGGTTAGAGAATATAGATAATGGCATGTTAAACGATGTTGTATTTCTTGACATTAGAAAAGCTTTTGACTCAATCGACCACTCTATTTTACTAAAAAAAGATGAATGAGCAATTTGGAATTTATGGGGCTGAACTAAAATTATTCGAGTCTTATCTAACAAAGAGACAACAAGTGTGTTTTGTCAATGGTTATACATCGTCACCTAGACAAATAACATGTGGAGTCCCACAGGACTCAATTCTTGGCCCACTATTATTTTTACTATGTATAGATGATATTAAGTGTCTAAAATCTACAACCCCTTGCCTCTATGCTGACGATACTGAAATTTTTCCATTATCACCTGATTATGATACACTTGTTAAAAACCTAAATGATGATCTAAAAAATATTCACACTTGGCTTGCCAAAAATAAGTTTACAACACCATACAACTAAAACAACATTGATGTTCATTGGATCACCATACAATCTTAAAAATAGGATTGGAAAAGCTACTGTATTTTTTGGCGACAAACCAGTCCATTAACTCATTCTCTTGACTGCTTAGGAGTAGAAATCGATGAAAATTTGAGCTGGGAAAAACATATAGATATAATATGTAAAAAGGCAAGTGCCGGTGTCACAGGAGATTCGCCCCCCCAGTAGATTCGCCCCCCCCTCTCAAAAGGGGGGCGATATTCCTAGGATATTCGCCCCCCCGGGGCGAATCTCCTAGGAATATCGCCCCCCTGGGGGGCGAATCTCCTAGGAATATCGCCCCCCTTTAGGAATTTCGCCCCCCCATATAAATTTGGAATTTTTGATCTAAAAACAAAACGATTGCAAGTTGAAAAGATTTATTGTGTGATTTATTTATTTATTACAAGGAGACAAAATTACATACACATTTTAGGCTTCTTAGCAGCTGGTGGTGTGCACAGTCTGCATAACCACTCATTTGAGGTACTTAGACTAGTGTCATATTGACATATTCTACACATCTAAAGTGGAACCATCACAGAGATCGCATAAAATCATGTTGTCGTATTCTTCTGGCAGTTTACATTCACATAACATATTATAAAAACAATCGCTTGCAAATTTTATCAATACGAGTGTTAACAATAGCCGCCACAGTAATCACTTGCTAACAATAAACTATAGGATTAGTAAAAAATCCATGGAATGTGTTGGGAAGCGTATTGACTATTGTCCGTTGAATCGTCAACTTTCCGTGTCAGTGATGTATAATCTTTTGCGGAAGTGCCGCAAAGAAAATTGCATTATATATGTGGTGTGGTTTATTCAAATCATTTCATGATACTTTGATTTTATTAGTGCATGCCTTAAACATTTGAGAATGTAACTCTGCAAAACTAAAGCTTTCTTGTCTTTTTTGAAACGTATATTATTGGATTATTGCCTTTTGGCAAGTTCTACCCTTCGCTTCTGAGATTTATAAACTATATTGAAATAATGCAAGTAAAAAATAGTGATAAACCATACATTTTCCGATAACGACAAAACGTGGATGCAAAACAATACCAATAATTACAATAACCACCACGGTGATTACTTTTTAACAATGAGTTTAAGGATTAACACTGAAAATGCAAATTGCAAAATATGCATGGTGTGCTGTGAAGCGTCATAAGTCCTATTGAGTATTGATCTACTGTAACTGTGTAAAGCCCTTTCGATACATGTAATTGTAAATTTGTATTCTTACATGCAGGGCTTGAAATAACGTTCCCAAAGTTCCCGACCATGGTGATCGCAGTCCCTGCTTTTTTCAGGTTGGAAACCGAAACTCTGCTTTTCCGCCGATCATAAGCGATTCCTTGCCGATCATTGATCGGTGATCGGTTGTTATTTCAAGCTCTGTCTTAACAATTTTGAATTGATACTGATTTCAAATTATTAAAGCCATGTAATAGTTATCCCATGCAACTGTTAGGAAGAGCGAAATTTTGAACGGAGGACGACAATCCTAAAGAAAAGGTGAAATTTCTAAAGGGGGGCGAATTTCCTAAAGGGGGGCGAAATTCCTAGGATTTTCGCCCCCCTGGGGGGCGATATTCCTAGGAATTTTGCCCCCCGGGGAGAGAAAATGTAGGGGGGGCGAAAATCCTGGGACACCGGTCCACAAAACGTCATGTTTGGCAACCGGTCCGCAATCAAACATTTATTGACCGGTCAATAATAAAATGGGTGCAATACGCATGCGTGTCAACCATGAAGTTCCAAAGTTCATTTTTAAAACATTTTACTAAACATTTACGGCATTCCATTTATCCAGTTTTGGTTTCAAATTATTGTTTACAACATACGACACTTTTATATTAATCAAACAATATATTTAATCTGGACAAGGTTAGAAGTGGTGTTAATTAATATAATCTTAATGGTTTTATTCTATGAAGCGTTTTTAGGGTTATAATTCAAATAGAAATTCTATTGTACTATAACACTCGATATTTCTTTTATTCGAATAACACATTTTGAATTCGAATAACATAATTTGAATTCGAATAACATAATTTGAAATCGAATAACACCATTTGAAATCGAATAACACAATTACGACGTCATTTGCAGTATTATCCTTTTACAAGCACTGTCAAGCAGACTTACACGAAGTATTGTGCCGGACATGCATGTCTGAATCCCTGGTCTGAATTAGGTTTACTTTGAAATATATATATATATATATATATATATATATATATATATATATATATATATATATATATATATATATATATATATACTTATCATAGGATCAGAACCGATTAATATGAGATTACCCCCCCCCCCACCTCTCTGCCCCTTACCACATCGTTGATCGAATGTCTTGGGATATCTTGGGCAAATGTGCATTATCATGGTGGATATGTTGGGCAAATGTGCATTATCATGGTGGATATGTTGGGCAAATGTGCATTATCACGATGGATATGTTGGGAAAATTGCATTACCACGATGGATATCTTGGGCAAATGTGCATAATCATGCATGGTGGATATCTTGGGCAAATGTCTATACTGCAGTCTGCATGCTGAGTAAATTGGTATGAGTAAACTGCTTTAGGAATCGTAGATCACGAACTTGTTTGGTTTGAGGATTATTTGCATATTCGAAATCAAATCGTTGGGTACCAGGGTGTATATTCGGAGGCTGAGTATCTAACGTCTGGTGTTCCACAGGGCTCAATACTGGGCCCCCTCTTGTTTGTTTTGTACGTTAATGATCTTCCAAGTGTTGTTCGTAATTGTGAAATACTAATGTACGCAGACGATACTGTTCTATTCTACCCACATTCAGATGTTGCAGTAATACAACAGAAACTTAATGATGATCTCGAGCTTATCGGAACCTGGCTACTTGATAATGGTCTATTTGTTAACACCTCGAAAACAGAATCTATGTTATTTGGAACTCATGCAAGGTTATCTCGTGTTGATGAGTTTGCTATTTTCATGGATGGTCGTCTTATAAAGCGTGTGTACGAATTCAAATACCTTGGAGTCGTGTTCGACGAGTGTATTACGTGGAAATCGCATAGAAATATATCCTATCCAGAGCTGGGAAGAGACTGGGCATGTTAGGACGTATCAGAAATGATTTAACACCTCACTGTGCAAATATTGTCTATGTATCATTCATTCGCCGTATTCTTGAATATTGTGATACAGTATGGGATCGCTGCGGTGTTGGTAATGCCTCAAGTCTGGAAAAGCTTCAACGGCGTGCTGCAAGGATTGTGTCCAGAATACCTGAGAGCGACAAAGCAATGAACATGTTGAAGTGGCCTTCTCTGCAGAGTAGGCGAGACGACAACATTTTTAAATTAGTCAATAAATGTATTCAAGGCCGTTGTCCGCAACTTTTTATAAAATATTTTACTTTTAAAAGCTCGGTACACAGTAGAGTGACTAGGCAGAGTCATAAACTGCACTTGCTTCGAGTACGAACTGAACAGGCAAAGAAATCCTTTTATTACAACGGTTGTGCATGTTGTATATAATAATAAGCGAAAATAGTTTTATTCTCTAGTATATATATATAGTATATTGTTTTAATACCTAATTGTCATATAGCATGCAAAGATTGTATTTTTTTTAAATAGCAGGGCTCCAGTTGATAGCAGTAGTTTTTACTACTGATTGGACTACCCTGTTTAAATAAAGGTGTCAATCAATCAATAAAGAATGAAAACATCGTAAGGTTTGTGAACATTTACAATATTAGCGATAAATGGTTCCCTGCGGCTAGGAACAAAGTAAACCGTGAAAAAAAAACACAGTGTCCGTGATCTGGTCGGACTAGAGTACTGAAACCAAATTTAATATCCCAAAGCTTTGAGAAACAGTTCCTTTCATCAAAATTACGTTTTTTGATCGGTCAGATATGAGACAAAACTTTTGTCATGGAAAAATGTTATATTCCGGGACCCACCATGCACGCAGAATTACAAAACTTTTTATGAGGTATCGGTACTATAGCTGCATGTATAAATGTATTTTTGGTGACATTGTCAAAATGAATGTTGTATATTCTGTAGAATAAGCAACGTTTATAAAGCCAAAACCACTGCAACATCGCGTCTATACATACAGGTATATTGCTAAAGGTAGCTTTCATTCCAGTGTCCAGTACACTGCAAACTTGGCACATGGTATTGATTTAATTTGATGAATTTAAATCCAACAGGTTCACTGTTGAGTCGCCTTAGTCCGTGTGTTGTGACCCGATATCGTTCACTTTCATTAAATATGTCTTAGATCTGAAATATTTTTACGGGAACTAACACTTTCGATTTTCGAACACGCTGAGTTCAAATCCGAAAAGTTCCCACCCCGTAGACCTGCAGTTTTCTCACAAAATGCAATTTTATCTTCAATAATTTCACGACAAAGTTTTCATTGTTCAACGACACGGATCGATGACAATACACGATTATGTCACTCAAAAGGACCAATTTCTATTAACCAATTTTCCTTTTAACAAAAGACCGGTTTTGCTCGAATCATTTTGAGTTATGCAATCTTATGCGTGTTGGACGTAAACAACATGTCTTGTCTACAACTTTGAGAAAGTACAGATAACGCTTTCTAAAATCCTCAGTTCTAGAGATATCTCCATAAAATCACAAGGACATTAACGCGAAGTCTTTTAGCTATGTGACTGGCCTGAAAAATAACTCTTTTAACGCGATCAAGATATTTAAAACAAATGTAACGCGAAGCCAACGTTACGGCAAAGACAACGCTAAAATGAAATATTGTCGATTGGTTGCTGATAGAACACTTACGACAGGATCAATCTTAAATAACCTTAAACTAGAAGAATAAATCTTCACATCAAAGACAAAGATCAGTCCCAAAGTATAAAATATGCTCTGTAAACTTACGAGGAAGTGGAGAAATGTATACATGAGCTGTTTATTTAATATGGTGATTTCAACGTATATGGAAGCCCTCTTTCCAATAATGTTCGCTGATCGCACAGTATAACACCAGCTGATGTAATAGTTCAAATGCAATGATAAGTTATCTCTTGAATTACGTCTCGGAAACTGTGTTGGAAATTTAAATGCTGATCCATTACATATAGATTACCGTTTCACATCTTTGTAAGTTTTGTATAAAACATTTGGATCGCATGTATAAGGAATTATTTCTCAGCCAAGATACATAGCCCAAAGACTTAACATTAACGTCCATGTGATTTTATAGAGATAGATCCAGAACTAAGGATATTAGAAGGCGTTATCTGTACCTTCTCAAAGTTGTAGACAAGATATGTTGTTTCCGTCCAACACGCATAAGATTGCATAACTCAAAATGATTCGAGCAAAACCGGTCTTTTTTTAAAAGGAAGAATGGCTAATAGAAATTGGTCCTTTTGAGTGACATAATCGTGTATCGTCATCGATCCGCGTCGTTGAACAATGAAAAAATTTGCTGTGAAATTAGTGAAGACAAAATAGCATTTTGTGAGAAAACCGCGGGTCTACGGAGTGGGAACTTTTCGGATTTGAACTCAGCGTGTTCGAAAGTGTTAGTTCCCGTAAAAATATTTCAGATCTAAGACATGCTTAATGAAAATCGCTTTCTAGGCACTTTTCGAGGTCACTACACACGGACTACCTGGTCAGAGGGAATGAGGAGTTTGCATGAATATGCCTTATTCTTCTCTCTCATCCGCAGAGCCTCCTTAAGTATTTACAAATATATACATGAAGTTTCCTGAATAGAAGTGAGCGCGCCCGGTGTGATGGGAAGATTGAAATGAAGACGGGAAGGCTCTGTCAGATAATGCAACAAAGTATGGTTTTTGAACCAAACTAGTTGTTTGACCTTTTTTAAACTTGAAATCGACGGAAATGTGGAAGAAATTGAAATAAATCTTCATAATTTGAGTATCGAAGTTCAGTAGAGTAATTTTTATAAAGAAATGTTGCAATTTAGAGGATATTCATAATTAGATAGCTCATATCCATTTATATTCATTTGCAATTTCTCAATAATTTTCGGTGCAAATGGACAGAAGAAGATGTTGATATTGGATTCATTCCAAGAGACTCAAATACACCTGAAAAGGAAAGTGGAAACTAACATGTTTTAACACCCTCGATGGTTGATCGAACCGAACTCCAAACGATCATATACGACGCCATACTGATTGCATTAACTAGTAGAAGCTTCCTTTATTTAGCTCTTCCATCCCTCCTTGCGCGTTCACTTTTCCCTCGCTAGAAACTTCATGTATTAAGCCTCTGCCGAGGAGAGAGCCTTATTCTTTACTTTATTTGTTCGTTAGAACAACAATTTCCCCATTATTTGCCGTATTGAGAGTTATGCCGTACTTTATCATTTCTGGGTTAATTATAAATTCCTGGAACACTTTCCTTGATGTGTAACATTTCCGAACATTCCAGGAGCAGTGAAAGATTTTTGGATGACAGTTTGAACTTTTGAAAAAGCGGCAAAAAATGTTTCATTTTTGAAAGAGGGGCAAAAAATGGCAAAAAAGTAAAGCTATATATAAGTATAGCCTTAACTTTTCGTCCATTCTCAGCCACTTTCTTCATTTTTGAAAAAGGGACAAAAAATGGCAAAAAAATAATGCTATATATATATATATATATATATATATATATATATATAGCTATAGTGCTATACTTTTTTGCCATTTTTTCATTTTTGAAAAAGGGACAAAAATAGCCCGCGTGCAGGCCCACCGAGGGAAGAATAATTTTCTATTTGTCGCGTTCGCACACGAACGCAGCATTCTGATTGGCTGTTTGCTGTTGGATTCTATAATTAGATCAGTGATTCGTCACAAAGGCTCTCGATAAGCTTAAAAATGGATCTGATCACTTTTTCGATTAAAAATGAAACAAAAACAGACTGTTTATTGTTTACTTGAAGGAAGAGCTGTTTTTGCCGTTATGCCAACGGGGATTGCTTGTCGTGAAGTGTTGGAATAGCAACACTACTGGGGTAAACTACAGTAACCTTTACTTGAGTTTATTAATTTCAAACAGACTAGATTTGATACGTTTATATGTTCCTCAAGAAAATTATCTTTTGGTTGATGTTGACTCTGTTCTTGCACTGAAGAAAACACGCTTTTCGTGTTGAAGATTTAGATGCAGTTGCATGTAAGCCTATACGAAACACTTTGCGATTTGCGGGGCTTCTCTGAGAGGGCGAAACAGAAGACGGTAATTGCCGTTTGAAACGATCTGGACTCTGAACGCTCTCTTCTTTTGTCGAGTTCTTTACCAAATTAAATAACTGAAATAAATTTCGTATTTTCCGCCGACAAGAATTGCACCACGATCTGATATTTTAAGTGAGACAATTTATTTATAACAATGGCGATAGAAGCACAAATTAATGCTAATGCAGTCGCACGACTTCCCTGAGTTCCCTCACGATTTGAAGTTTGAGACAGGTTTTCTGCTGAAATTCATCCTAATTTGCTTGTTCTGAATTTAATTGAAGATGAGCACTTGTAAATTTGACAATTATTTGAAGCTGCTGGTTTGCTTAATTGCTTTTTCCGAGTTAAACGCAGCCATTTACACATCGTGTCTGTGATGTTACTCTGAGTGTATATCCACACCGGGAAAGCTTGAAATATATGCCTGGCCACGGTGGGAATCGAACCTACAACCTTTGGGATATCAGCCCAATGCTCTGCCAACTCTGCCAGTAACATCACAGAAATCATATTCACCTGAGTACACAACACACCAACACAGAAAAATCATTTACACATTGTTCTTATTCTGAAACGCAGAGAAAAGCCCGCAACATTTTAATGCGAGTTTGTTTACTATTTGGGTTGCTGTCATTGGTTCCTTTTTAACAATTGACGCCCGAATGGGGCGTGTGATGAAAAGGGGCGTTCTACAAAACACCCAGTCTTCCTTGCAGGCCCACTATTCTTCCCTCAGTGGGCCTGCACGCGAGCTATTTTTGCCCCTTTTTCAAAAATGAAAAAATGGCAAAAAAGTATGCCATATAGCCGTATAACTTGTCGTCCGTTTTCACCCACTTTTTTCATTTCCTTTACTATTCGAACATTTTCATGTATACATTTTCAGGGCTATACTAAACTCTTCGTCACTTTTTTCATTTTGAAAAAAGGGCAAAAAATGGCAAAGAATAAGGCTATAGCCTTAACTTTTCGTCCATTTTTAGCCACTTTTTTCATTTTTTGAAAAGGGGAAAAATGGCAAATGATTGTAAAGTAGTAAGGCTATATAGCCTTAACTTTTATTAATTATACAGTGCAAAATAAAAGGTTAGGACCGGGTGAATAAGTTTGTTGCTGGCTTTCAACAATGAGCTGGTGCATGGTCTATAGTGGTAATGTCTACAGACTGTGTAATGCACCCACCCACCCACCCACCCACCCACCCAC